TGCTTACAGTATCGCAATATATCGCAAAATATCGCCTTGTTTACAGTATCGCAACATATCACAATATATCGCAAAATATCGCCTTGCTTACAGTATCGCAATATATTGCAATATATTGCAAAATATTGCCTTGCTTACAGTATCGCAATATATCGCCTTGCTTACAGTATCGCAACATATCGCAATATATCGCAAAATATCGCCTTGCTTACAGTATCGCAATATATTGCAATATATCGCAAAATATCGCCTTGCTTACAGTTTCGCAATATATCGCAATATATCGCATTGCTTACAGTGTCGCAATATATCGCAAAATATCGCCTTGCTTACAGTATTGCAATATATCGCAATATATCGCCTTGCTTACAATATCGCAATATATCGCATTTCTTACAGTATCGCAATATATCGCAATATATCGCCTTGCTTAAAGTATCACAATATATCGCAATATATCGCCTTGCTTAAAGTATCACAATATATCGCAATATATTGCCTTGCTTACAGTATCGCAATATATCGCAAAATATCGCCTTGCTTACAGTATCGTAATATATCGCAATATATCGCCTTGCTTACAGTATCGCAATATATCGCAATATATTGCCTTGCTTGCAGTATCGCAATATATTGGGATATATCGTATCGTGACCCCTCTGTCATGATATGAATCGTATCGCCAAATTCTTGCCAATACACAGCCCTAATTTTTACTTTTGATCAAGCTGTATTCTACATTTAGCTGGAGTTCTACTGCTTATAGCATTTAGCTGGTGTTATGCTTATTTTAGCATTTAACTGACGTTCTGCTTCTTGTAGCATTTAGCAGACTTAGTCATCTTAGAAAATAGCTGTTAGTGTTAGCGTCTGCTAATTTTGACATGTTTAGCTGTTTAGCSTTAGTGAAACTGYATTTATAGTTAGCAGATCATGASYWAGTAAAGCTAATTTCTTRATTAGCTGWGCTCATCATTTGAACTGTAACAACTACACTAACATATTACAACTGGAGTAATGTCTGATTGTAACCTGTTACAGTGAGCTTAACATAATAAATGATCTGCAGGTTTTTCTCACCAGTTTTRTCTTCTTTCTGACCTCTGGTTTCGTCATACAGGCCTCCATCCTGCCAGCAGGAAAGAGATAGATCCAGAATTTATTTATWTTTGTAAATACAGCACCATAGCCTTTTTAAAAGGATAAGAAACTAACTTCAACTGAGCAGCAGGGATGTCATAAACAGAAAAAAAGCACAATAATAATCAATTGCACAACATCGTGCACCGTTTCCCTCACTCCATACTAATAAATTACTTGATATCGGTGCATTTAGGTGACAAAAAATGTTTATTTGAACCATGATGATGACGATGATGATGCAACCCATGCTGGGTTTRAAGGGAAACCTTCAACCAACATGAAGACGAACAGAAACAAACCATATACAACATGCAAAATTAGTTCTTTTGCTTTTACATTTAAACCAACATGTTTTTACTATATACCATTGAAGTATAAGTTTAGTCATTTATAATGAAAGGGAGACAAGTTTCTTCCAAATGTTTAATAAAAAATGCCTTCATCTTTAGTTGCAAACTTGCATTTTTATAAGGCAGAGCGTATTTTCCCTCTTTAACTCAATTTATTTGTCCTCAGCTGATGGATGTGGCATTTTTATGGTCAGTCTCCTTAAAAATTAAAAAACAAAATAGATGAAAAATCTCCTGTGTGGTTGTGAGTGGATTTTCAAGTTAATTAGATCTTTAAACCAGCTCAGAGAAATCTCTCTCTCTCTCTTAACAACAACAACAACAACAACAACAACAACAACAACAACAACAACAACAACAACAACAATTTTAACAGTAATAATATAGTAATAATAAAAACTTTTGGGGGGGGGGCATTTTTTTTACTTCTGTACATTTAGTTTGATCTTTGTATTTTCTTATGTTCTAAAAGGTTTTTCTTTTGAAAGTGAAAATAAACAAATAAATAAATAATAAAATATGTTTATACTAAAAAAAACCTCGACATAGCAATTCCTAATTTTACACAGAAAAGATAATGTGTTGTGTGGGTTAAGATGGATGGATATTAAAATAGAAAAACACCAAAATATGCAGTGAAGTTCAAAATGAGTAAAATTCCTGCAACAAGTTTGAACAGATGAAGTCCTTCTGCGCATGCGCCAACCAGGACCGCTACGTCGCTGTGCGCTCGTGGACGAAAGTTTCAAAATAATAATCCACAAACTTTTTAATAACGTCGGTGGACACCAAAACAACTACAACTCACCGCCCTCGGTGTCACAGCGACCCGTTTCACCCACCGGAGACGGTTCCGAACGACCTGGAACGGCAGATAGTAAACTAAAAACGACCCGCATCGGTTCAACGAAAATAAACCACACCCACTTCCTCCGCTGTGCCGCTCAGGATGCGTTCGGAGCTCCGTAAAAAGCTCGGAAATTATGGCTTCAACCTAAACCACGCCCCCAACGTGCGTACCTTTTAGTAACAGGCCTAAATTATTATTTTATTATTATTTTACTGATTTATGTAATGTCTAACACAAAAATAAAAATAATAAACTATTTGATGATTTTTTTTCTTATCATTTGCAGTAAAATTTAGTTAGGGTAATCTAAATAAGCCTGAAATTTTTTTTGTTAATTTATAACATTTAAAACAAGAAAATAAATTGTATTTTGAGAGTCAGCACAGTTAGGAGTTATTGTATTTAGAAATAAATGAGAAATATTAGAAAATAAAGCCTAAATATATCAGTCAGAATGTGCTCCATCTTCCTCTRCATGTCAGTAACCTATTTTTCTCATGGTGTAATCCACGTTCAGACACCACCCAATGCTGACATGGCTTCATGGGTCAAATAAAACAAAAATCTAAACACTCCCAGAGGAGCTACTGCGCCTCGATTATCTACCTGTCGCACAAAAAACACTTAATGAGCGACAAAAGATCCAGGTGACCACATTCCTGTATGGTTCCAGTTTCTCACCTGGCCGCCACATAAAAACATGAGATATTTTATTTCAACTCCTTTGGTTTCTGCTTGTGAACTCACCTGGAGAAAGGGTGTGGCCTGTTTGAGAGCTTACATAGGTGACTCACACAGGTTTCACAAGCTAGGTCAACACCACACAACATCTGATGGAGGTGAGTTCAAACTCATCCTCGCTGCGTGGAAAATTACCAGCCTTTATTAAAATTATTCAACATAAACAAAATAATTTAAAAAATCTTTTCTTAAATTTTTACAGATTTGTTTATTACGTGAACAGAATATTGCAAGTAAAATTCATGATCTCTAAAAAGGAAAACAAATAGAAAATAATTTTGTCTACAGACACCATGAGGAACAAGCGGGAAAGCTGTTAGGTTAAAATATTTAACAGTTTGTATTTAATAAAACATTAATTATGCCGTGATTAACTGAAACATCAGAACGTGGTTTAATCTAAAAAAAGAAATCTAGCAAAAATAATCCAAGTCGTGTGTTAAATCAAACCACTCAATCAGAGTTAAATTATTAAACCTATGATTCACAAAATACCAGAAATTCATGTTAGAATTAAGTGACAAACAAGTGGGTATGGACTAAACTGAATAAATATGACTAAATCTCAAAGTGCAAATTAAAAGTTTAAATAAAAAACATAGATAAAAGATCACTTGTTCCTCCTAAATAGCAGAATGGTAGCTACTCCATGAGGAATGGAGAGAAAAATAAATCCTTTGCTGCTTCTGCTCCTGTATGTCCATCACACATGCAGAAAATAATTAGCATCTATTTAACATGCGAGTCAGGGGGAGGTGTCCCCTCCTGGTCTAGATCGTATTAATAATWTAAGTATTTATTGCATCTTTGTTCATTAAAAATATCTCCAATCAAAGAGTTCTGAAAACCATCRGAGACGCTAAACGTGTCAAACATTTTCTCTGCTCTCGATGTCCTTCTTGATKGCTTTTTTAATGCGGCTGATTTCGTCTTCAGTTGAATTGTCATATTTATCACTTTTCTCTTTCTTTTCAAAGTCTGAATTTTTGGTTTGGTCCTTGGTGCTGTTTTTGGGCTTGGTAGACTGCAGCTCTTCTCGGATTGAGTTCAGCTCCACCAAACCGTCGTGAAGTTGCGTGGCCACCTCACGAATTTTGGCAGCGAACTCCGATTTTGCACCTTTCTTGAGTTCTTTGGAGTCCTTGGCCACAAAGTAGATGTCCATGCCCACGAAGAGGCCTGTGAGCACGCCGGTGGCCATGCTGGCGATCTGGACCGCCCTGGCCGCCGTGCTGCCCGCCACATTGGCGATCTGCACAACGCGCATGATCTCGTTGGCATTTATAAGGATGGCCTTCCCTGCCATGGCGCCATCCTCATAGAACTGGCTTGTGAGCGAGGGGAAGTCCTGGTTGTAGGCGCTTTTCTTTATCTTGATCAGGTCGAACTTGCGCAGGTTCTCGATCCCCTGCTTGATGAACTTCAGGCACTTGTTGAGGTCGGCGATCTTCTCCTGGTAGTCCTCCACGATCTTCTCCACCTTCTTTCGRTCCATGGAGTTGTTGACCTGGTTGGAGATGCCGGCGCCAGCTGTTGTCAGACCACCTGCCGTCGCAACGCCCAAACCCACCGCCGTGACGATCAGAGAGGTTCCCATGGTGACTGGAGCCAAGGCAAGGCCGGCGATGGTGGTGACGCCCCCGATTGCGCTGGTGGAACCGCCGGTGATTTGAGCGATCTTYGTGTTCTTGTTGAACTTGTCCAGGCCGTCGGCGATGGAGTTGAGGTCGATGACGTGCTGCCAGAGGGTCTCGGCACGCTCCATGAACAGTTTGTTAAAAATGCGGATGCCTTTCTGAACTTTCTCTGCAGTGACAGCAAACGCCCTGAGATAGAAAAGCAAGGAAAATCAAAGAAATTTAGTCAATGCACAGTTTTAATTTTTTTAAGCAGCCCTTTAGACCAATAGACAATGAAAACATGAAGAAAATGTAAATTTAAATACAATTTCACTTACTTGGCTTCTTCTTTTTCGGTCCTGTCTTCTGCTTGAGGCGTGTCCTCCCATGCTGTTAAAGGAAAATGTAAAAAACTATGAATATTTGAATTATTTTAAATACAAGGCATACCACAGGGATGTGTACTCGGTCCCATAATCAACACACCCATGACTGTGTAGTATCACATGGAAACTGTACTGTCCTCAAGTTTATATTAATGACCTGACTGTTAAGTATCTAAACTGCGGTAATATTTTTACCACCATAGAGTTTTTTTTTCCAAATATAAAAAGTAAAARCATTAACGTTGCTTACATTCAACTGTGTTCCACCACTCCATGAGATCTTCCATATCCTGAGAAACATGCTCACATTAATACAGTCTATGAGGTTTATTTGCTGTTCAAAATGAAGCAAATTTTTTTAAAAATAAAAACCTTAGAACCAATTTTTGTTTTATGGACAAACCTGACTGTTTTCAGGCTGCGAGGGTTCAGTTCGGAAAACGTCCAGTTGGTCAAATAAAGACCTGTTGGGCCCTTCATTCTGTGAAGAATAAATAAATAAAATTTATTCTGAACTTTTATTGGCTTTGGGAAATTTCTCTACGCAGACAATTCTACAAACTAGAAATTAGTATGCAAGCCTAAAAATCGTGTAAGAATTGTAAATGAATATTAAAAAATTGTTCCTTCTGTTTCACTTTTTAAGTAGTTTATGGTCAGAAAAAGAAGAGGAAGTGTGAATGAGAAAGACCTGTGCTGTGTGGACAACTTTAAGCTGGTTTGCAGAAGTAAAACAGCTTTCAGGGACACACTAAAAAAACTGAACATAAAAATGAAACCGGTTTGGCCATACTGACGCCTAATCTGATCCATATTCCATATTGAGGACATGCACTATCAAGGTATGACTGTGTGTGGGTGCGTTTCATGTCAAACACGTGTTAACAACAAAAGTGTTGCTCTGCTGGGAGCCGACCGACACCCTGGAGACAAACTGAAAGTCTGGAAGAGAGAGGGGGGTTATTTTCAGGGTGGAGGAGGGAGATGAGTGACTGAAACTGGGATTTTGTAAAACAAACACGATAGTTAAGATTTAAGAAAACATCACTTTAATCTACAGTTACGGTTWAATGGAGTTTGTGTGTGTGTGTGTGTGTATGTGTGTGTAAGAGATAAATGAAAGAAGAAGCAGAGATAAAAATGGTTTTATTTTTTCTACCTCCGCTGAGTTTCCTGCAGCTTCCTCTCGTGTTTTCCTCTGAATAACTTTAGCCTAAAATTAACACAAACAAACGTTTGAAAAGCAGGCTACTTTTGATATTTAATAAACATTTCTTTTGGAAAAAAGAAGACAGCAAGTCAATAAATGATGGCGCAACCTTGAAACTTTGCATCTTTCAGTTCTGAACTGAAAAAACTCCATGAATGAGAATTGAAACATGTTCAAATATAAAAAAATAAAATGTCCAGTTGCAATTTAATTACCTGTGGTCATTGAATCATCACTTTTTGTTGTTCTGAACCAACTCAAACTTACACTAAAACAGTCCACTACTGTTTTTTTATACCTTGTTTCTCTTGTAAAGCTGCTGTGTAGCGTTCACACTGGAGTCTGATGCAGGTCACGTTTAAAATGTAATGTGAACGTTCACACCAAATTTTTTCAAAAATTGAGCCTGCAGTGTGAACGTAGCCACGGTTAAACATGAAACATCAAAGTTAATTACAGCTGGACCTTCGAGGGCCACTAYAAYGCTCCAGTKCCCTCTGCAAAAATGAGTTTGACACCCCTGATTTAGCGGAATAGTTTTTCACTAACTTTAAAAACCTTTAGCGGACCAATTAGCCTCCGCTAAATTAGGTTTTTAATGACTAAGTCTGCTAACAGCTAGCTAACAAGCTAAAATCAACAGGTTTGTGTCAGTCTCACCAGTCTTCAGCAGGAAGATGTATGACACAGAGTCATCTTAGTGGTTAGCAATTAGCTGTTAGTGTTAGCTTCTGCAATTTTTTGCCTGTTTAGCATTAATGAAGAAATTATTTTTGYTTTGAATATATGTTTGAGAAGCTAACTTTTTGTTTAGCTCTGCCCACCACAGCCATTTGTCTCAAATTCTATCATCTTCAGATCAGCGACGTACAGAAATCTTTACTAACTGATTCTCCATCTCTGTCTGATTATTATCAGTTTTTTATTCACATACATGAGGATGTTCTGAACTTTACCTTAACCTGAGGCATGAAAGGATTGGGTCTCTTTGGTTTCGTGACTTTGGTCTGAAAACACCAAACAGGATCAGAGAGTTAATGAGTAAAAACGCAATGATTAATTAAAATGCCATCAGAGACAGGTGCAGCTAACAAACCTCTGCCGCTTTTTCCTTCCCTTCCTCTTCTTTCTTCTCTTTTAATGAAGAGTCATCATTTTTTAGGCCTTCCTGAAATTAATTTTCAAAGAAACAACATAAACAAAGTAAGTCCGACATTAAATCAAAAATCTTATCTGGTAGACAATAAAACACAAACCCAGTCAATGTCAAATGTCTTCAATGTACCTTTAATGCAGATTGGGACATGAATGGATTGAGATGCTTGAGTTTTTTCACTTTGGTTTGAATAATTAAACAGAATCAGTTGTAACACGCTGCTTTGTTACATAAAACAACCTACTGTTTTCAGCTGTGGCCTAAATATCAACATGTATGAGTCATGAGTCAAACCCATTTGTTAAATACTCACATCCTCTTTCTAACAAAGTAAAATGAATTTAATGTCACCGTTTGTTATAAAAAATATCTTAAAACAAGATATTTTTGACAACCTCAAGATTGATACGAGAGAAAACGCCTTTAAAAGGATTAAAAGACCATGTGACTAATAATAACAACATAAAAACAAACTGAGCTCTGTTGAAACTCCCCGACTGAGCCTGAGGGAGTCACGTGTCCTTAGCTGGAGTTCGGCATGAGAGTCGATAAAGCAAAGCAGGAACTGGAAAGGTCAGATCGAACAAATCCTTTGATCGTTTTCAGCAGCAGAAAAGTTGTTTTACTGATTAAACAAAGAGAAGCTAAAGGGTAGAACTCAAGCWGGCTGGATTTGTGAAAAGATTTATCTCATTTACAAAAGACACTCACTGCAAAGATGAGAAGACAACCTTAATAAAAAGTTTAACCAGATGCCGACGACCACGAGTGTTTATCTACAGAAACAGCCAAAGCAATAAAAATGGACCAAACGGTAAACTTATCGGTTTATCCGACGCTTCGCAATAAGCTGCGAGTTTGAACCTGGATCTCGGTCTTTGTTGAGCTTCAATCCTGATATTTATCCTCGACATGTCTTCCTGCTTTTTAAGATTCTTTGCTTGTCCGATTATTTGTTTACATGCAACTAGCCTAAAGTAGGTCAGTTACATGATTTAACCCTTTAATGACTTTGGTCTTAGATTTATAGACAGGTCTTATGGGTCATTTTGAACTGACCTTTTACTAACTCTAACCTGAGTACTTTGTTTACARTGAGTGCATACCCTCATTTCGAAACTGAATATCAATAAATCAGACAATAAACAGAGTAAAACTAAAACTGTTGAACGAGTGAGACAAACTCACCGGTTTGTTCTCTGCTCGCTTCTCCTCTTCGTGTGTTTCGTTTCCAGGTGGTTTCTGCAGGAAATCGACACAAAATTCGATTCCAGTTAATTTGACATTTCTGATCGTTGTAAAAAAAMCACAGCATTAACTGGAAACAGTCTACCTGTTGTATCAAAGTGATTTTGGAAAACAAACCAAAACAAAATAAATCAACTGAACACACTGACCTCTTGGTTCTGTTGATGTCTCACTGTTCTGTTCATCTCCTGAAATTAAAACAAGTTCAGTAAAAAGAACAACATGAACACATCCTGTAAGAACAGCACGGATCGTTCACCTCCTTTGAAGGTTCGGGAGGAAGCGTGGGAGCTCCTGAACGTTTTCCTGTCATCTCTCTGGGATTCCTGTCCGTCTGCAGAAAACACAGAAAATCAGGATTCCAGAATGAGATGTGTTTTTAAAAAAAACGGTAAAGTACCGTCTCCTCAGGTCCTTGTTGTTTTTTGTCGAGTGCAGACATGTCCTTCCTCTCCTGGATCACAGTAAAAACACAAAGACGGAGCAGAATTCAGTACAGCTCCATAAAAACCAGAAAACCACGAGACGCGGAGCAGAAACTAAATTTTAACTCCGTCCAGACCTCCTCAGGCGGTCTGGGTGGGATCAGCAGAGCTTCACTGCTTTTCCTCCGTTCTGGTTGGTGGATCRCGTTAGTTTTTTCCTGCGAAGGAACATGAGGATAAGGAGGTTTAGTTGGAGGTTCTGAAAGGGAGGAGCAGCAGCAGGTTCAGCTCATGATCCGYCATGAAGCAGAAAGACTCACTGGGTCTGGTTTGGTTTCCAGTTGCTTCCTGTTCTCTTCAAGCCTCTCTGCATCGCCAGGGTCTTTCTGAACAGAAGAACATTAAATAAATTAAAATCTTAAATGTTTCACTAAYAAAACAAGTGGATGAGATGGTATAGAAAGGAAAGAACCGTGACAGCAGTTTGAAAATAAATCTTTAGAGCAGACAAAGTGTTTTTCCCAGCCTGTAGAGAAAATGATCCGACGTCTGTTGGGCTAAAATGACGGTTTTGAAAAGATGTAAAATCTGAAGTGTGGTTAAAATAAATTAAGAGTTCTTTATCTAAGCAGCAGAAATGTTTTAAAAGATGAACATCCATTATCTCCATGACCATCAAGCCCATCCCCCTCCTCATCCTCAGCACCGCTACCCAACATGTTCACAGAATAGTTGTTTTAGCTGCAGAGCAGGACAGATTCAGTTTGGACATGGCTTCAGCCACAGAGTTGGTAGATTGTTCATCGTCTACAAATAAATCATCCTGAACCAAGAAAACAAAAGAAGAGTTTAAAAAATAGGCATTTGTTTTGAAATATAACAATTTCATATTCTGAGGCAAACTAGGCACAAAAAGGTGATTAAATAACTGCAGGGAAATTTAAATGAACATTTAGTTTAAAACAAATTAAGAAATTTTTTGTACAAAAAGGCCAGAAAAATGTCAAATTTAAAAAAAAAAAGCAGAATATGAACTTTCAGCGTGATCACTGTAGAAAATTATTAATCCATTGGAATTTTTTCTAATTAATCTCGTCTTTAATGCAATCTATAATATGTGTCAAATCTTTTTTCTCATTTCAAGACTGAAAACATAGATTATTCTCAACCGGCTTTACCTGAGACTGAGATTTGGCTACTTTTTTCTTAAACATGCCGCTGAGGATTCCTCCTTTTTCCTAAGAAAAAGAAAAGTAAAATCATCATTAAATTTGGGTTTTCATTATTCAAACGGGAGCAAAAGCTAAAGATTCACCTTTACCTGGTTTTCAGACTGATTATCGCTGCTGCTCGAGAGCTCTTTGTCTGCACAGATACCCTCCTGAAAGCCAATAAAAAAGTAAATTCGGATAATTCATCAGAACATTTAGGTCACAGTTGTAGGGGTCACCTCGAGTGAAGAAACAAGATTTACTGCCTCGAAGCAGACCTCGGACAGGCCTGGCGAGAGGACAGGAACTCTGTCACAAACTGAACTCTATTTAGGCCATGACAGGTCATTCTAACCGTGGAAGAGAACCCCTCAGTTCTCTTAATCAGATAATGGACAGAACAATCTCTTCTGTTCGTGATTCATTTGTTGTTTAACTAAGAATGTTTATGCATTTGTTAAATCATGATAATGACTGTCAAAAGAAAAGTGGTTCCACTTTTCCTGTATCGTGCCTTAAAGATTTATAATGGTATAAAAAAATCACAGAGAATCTGATTACAATGTTTTCATTGTGTTTTTAATGTAAATCACTGTTTTTATTTTACTGTGAACACAGTAATATAATTGTGGATTTTTCCTGAGAAAATCTTTCATTTATCTGGACTAACAGAAGRTTCAGAACTGATTATAAAACAGAAATGTTAATTAATCATCATAAATGTTTTGCAGTGATTTCTCTTAGTCTATCAGAAGAATGAAGCTGATCTTATCATTGAGTCCAGTTAAAACAAGTTTGCATTGTTTCAAATATATTTTTCAATGCTTTTCAGTAAAAAAAGATTGAAAGATTGAAGGTGTATTGTGACTTTATAACAGTGTCGGTTATAGAAAGAAAAATGTTGGTATCGGCAGGTCAGGCTTTTAAAGATTAAAGTGTCGAGGCTCGTTTTAAACTAAACTCTTAATGAAAGGTTTAAAAAAAGTTGATGTTTTGTTTGAGCTGTCACCTGGGTTTTTGCAGATGCTTCTGTAGACTTGGACGGCTTTTTGAACATCCCGCTGAAGAGTGCAGCTTTGTGCTGAAAGCAGGAATGAAAAACATTTGAGAAATTAGCTGAAATCTTGGCCGTTTTCACACAAATACACGCAGCTCTGACGAGCCTCATGTGACGTCGAAGCATGCCAACCTGTACTTTTCATGGTCAAGTTTTAAGTCTGGACTTGAAAGTTAAACCTTAACTTGATGCTGAGAAGTTTAACCTATTAACAGCTTTGAGTAAAATCAAGCTAAAGCTTATAAGGAGGTTTTTTTATTTTATTTTTACAATACAGTAGTTTTCCCATTAAAATCGTTGTTTTAAATAGTTTAAATGATACATAAAACACATGATGATAGCATCTGGATGTTGTCCTGCAAAATGATAACAAAAAAGGAGCAAATTTTAACAAAATGGAGGCCAAAAACTGGATATAAACAAATAACCACAAAACAACTGCAACAGGAAAAAAAACAAAATACCAAATTGTGCATGCATTTTAATTTTTTCTTTATTTTTTAACCTTTAGATTTTAAATTATTCAAGGTCTTCATTTCTGCCCATTTTATTCATATAATTAAACGTAGTAAAACTTATAGATAACACAACACAACAGGTGTTTGGTCTTACACCAGGTAAACTCGCCATGTTCAACATAAAGAACATAGAGGTTAAAAGGCGGCGTTCAAAGTCATTAAAAATCATTGGAAAATCCTAAAGCTGAACTTTAAATCCCAAAGTTAGCTAAAAAGTTACTCACAGAGACGCGTCCTCCGCTTCCATCACCGCACTCTAGATCCAAATTTAGGCTGCTGTATCAATCCTGTCAAACATTATATTATTGACGACRGTTTTAAAATGATACCCACCTTCATTAACGACATGCTTTTTTTAATCGGCAAACTTGAAATTTAGMCCTGAACGTACCATTTAGCTAGCCACTCTGAAATCACTCCGCTCCGGTTAACAGGCCACCAGTTAATAATAATAAAAAAAGTTTCTAGTTTGTGTCCGTGTTCACTCTCTGGCTGTGCCAGTTAAATACCTGCCTGTCCTGTAAAAAAAATTAGATAAAATAAATAAAAATATAAACAAGTAAAAATATGGAGATGATTWTCCTCAGGTAGATCCTTGTGTTGAAACTGCCCGTCTTCTCCTCCAGTGCTCCAGAAGAGGGCGCGGCCTGTTTCGCCTGGAAGCAGAGGATCATTTCAATGCTGCGTTCTCGTGTCAGTCGGAAAATTGAGATTTAGACGGCCCCAGGCCATTATTTAATAAAGCAGTGAATTCAGGATAATATTTTCCAAGTAATGAACACGAAACACAGMATCGTGACATTAAACAAGCTAAACCAAAAAGCAATAATCTCCTATCTCATTATAGGGCTCTGGGAGGACCCTTTAATGCTGCATTAAGGGTCACTCGAACAACTAAGCTTTAAGACTTTTAGTTGTTTCTTTTTCAATATAAATTCCATTTTTCACACGTTTAGCTAAGTTCATACAGCAGKAAATTCAAGCCAATACTTTCCACATAATGAACCTAGAACACAGCTAATTATTACTTTTAACTAAGCTTTTGCTAGTTAAAAATTTAGATAACTTTTTCTGACATTTAGCTTTTAGCTGGCATTTTTGCTGCATTTATCTTCAAGATAACTGCTGCAATA